CTGGGGAGAGGGAGGTCTGGGTGCCTCTACTGAAGCTGCTGCCCCCGCGACCCGAACCCCGGACAAGCGGCAGATGATGGATGGATGGATGGACCATAAATAATTCCAGTTATTTCTACAAGAGAGCACACGGATGGATGGACGCTCAATTTGATTTGTGCTTACGCAACATATCTGGGAGACGGCACCAGGGGGCTTGGTTTCCATGGCGAGGACCCCATACTTTGTCTCTGGTTTTGCAGGGTCCCTGACGATCCGCCAGCCATCCTGACCAGTGACTGATTTCCCTAAACAGTGCTCTGATTACGCTACACACATTCATCCCCACTACGATGCTTAGAACTGTACTATAAGTCACAGCCTAGCTGTAAGGGTTTATCTTAATATATACATCCATCTTCAAGCTGTTTATCCTGGTCAGGGCTGCAGGGAAATCTGGACCCCATCTCAGGCAGCATAGGGGACACCCTGGAAGGGATGCCAGTCCATCACAGGGCAGAAACACAACGCTATAGACTGGACTGACATCCACTTAGCTTGACTGCATGTCTTCTTATGTGGGAGGACACCCAGACAACACAAGTAGATCATGCAGACTCCTCACACGGAAGAGAGATTCGATTCGAACCCCCAACCCCACATCAGGCTGTCCTACCTAGACTCATCAGAGCTCCAATCACCCATGCTGCTGTCTGAACGTATCTAAATCTCACACGCACGCACCAAATAAAATGGATGAACAAAAGGACGAGTGATTGGACAGAGAGGTGGCCGAGCCGTCCAATCATATACCACACATCAGCTGAGCAAATGCATTGGGGGGCCAGCAGTTCCAGTGATGGCTTAGGAAGGCGAATCATGAGACGGGAAACGGGAAAGAATGGTGGAGAAGGAGGGGGGCAGCAAGATCCAGAAAGGGGGCAAGGAAATCAGCAGTGCTGAGAGGCGCACGTGTCTGCCAGAAATGTATCATGGGTAAATAAATCTGGCAAACTGAGCCGGGATAACCCCCCCCCCGAAAATGAGCTACGAAACGGCCTTCCCATTGTGGCCTAGATTAGGGGGGCAGCTGCCGGGGGCTAGCACCTGACGCGGGGAGCCGGCCACGCACCCCGCGCCAGCTTTGGATAAGCCACTCCGCCCACTCTGGGATTTGAACCAATGACCTTCTGCTAACAGCTACAACATCCAAACTTGCTGAGCCGCAGACCAGCCCCATAGCGGGTCCAGTCCTTGCAGGGGTTCGTTCAACCACATTTACTTTCCAACTTACCAGGCTCTGCCAGACTGTCACACGTACTTATTTGTGTGAAACGGACAAATTCATGCACTCACTGTGCACCCTGGGCAAAAAAGATGTGAACAAATGTATCAGTTATTTAATTGTTCAGGGGCTTGGAATAATTAAAGCTGGCATCTGTATTCATTACCTAATGAAGTATTAACCAGATTCATATTTTAATTCTAAATGTTTATGGAACATATTTACACGACAAAATAAGAGCCTCCAAGGCAAGCTTTCAAGAAACGTGGGGATTTTTCAGAGCAGTCAGAATTCAATCAACATCCCTGTCAGGCCTCATTAGCTAATTAAGAGCTCAGGCAGAAGTAAATGGCGTGCCTCCAGAGCAATGTGAAGAAAAGCCTTCCCATATTAATCAAACGGGAGCATTTTCCCACTTGACAGAGTTAACGGCATGTGACAATGCGGCAGATTAGTGGGCGGGGAAATGCTAATTACTGCCGGAGGTGGGAAGATGTGAAGAGCTTAGTCAGATGACATCTAAGCAAAGATCAGCCCCTCAACGCTAAAGAAGGCAGCTTTAGTGATCTTCAGAAGGCAGGAAAAAACACTACAATGTGTGTCACACACACACACACACACACACATTCCTCTGCTCTTCCTAGAGGAAATTTAGGGGCATTAGCACCGAAATGGGGGACACTCAGAGCCCGAGAGGGGGGGCAATAAAGCATGAAATCACTGTGACTGAGGAGCACGTCAGGACAGGAGGAAAAGCAGACAGGAAGAGAGCCATCAAAGTACAGGTTAGTGGATGCATCAATGGTGAACAATGCCAGCATGCTTTTTTTAACACCATCTCAGATGGTCTGAGGAAGGCGTGGCCAATGGGAAAGGGGCGGGGCTTGTGGGTATATGACAGAGGCTTGCCTGAGCGCAGTCCTGCTCTACCTATCCTAATGGAGAGCTCTGGGGCGTCTGTCTGCCCCAAAGGGTCTTCCTGCTTCTCCTTTGGGGGCTTAGATTCCAGAGGGTGGGCCAGGGCCAGGTGGGGGTCGTCTGCAATTCCCTACGGGAAGAAAAACAACAAAAAAAAAAAAGGATCATCACAGAGGTCTGGTTGTGGGCAGCAACAGGAACCAGGCTGGTAACCAGAACCAAAAGTGGGCTTTAATACCCTTCTGCAAAAACTCCATAAAATATCCATCGGGATTTTTACGTGCCGTAGTTGTCTGGTCTGTGTGTGTGGTTTTGGTTTGGTCTTTGTGTTACAGGTCACTCCGTTGGTGCGGGTTGGTGAAGTCTGGGGCGGAGTCAGAACGACCTGCACGGCGGAGTCAGCATCTAGCAGAATGGCACCTGGAGTCCGGGCTCGATCCTCGTTTTGACTCTCCTGTTTGATTCCTGCTGATGTATTCTCGTCTGTATGATTTATAGATGCCTTTGTGCTTGACGTTGGTGCACATTTACACCGTGATGGCTTAAGTGCGAGGACTTTTATCCTAAATGACGAATTGCTCGCTCTGGTAACCAGGATACCGTCACCTGACTCCTAAGGTGGTGGGGCTCAGTGTAGAATGTGCACATGTACATTTACCACACAGAAATACTGAATGTCTGGTCACACCAGTTTAGGAGCAGGCAACCTATGTACTTTTGGGCAGGACACAGTAGTTCTCCTTTGGGGGTTATTTAGACTCTTTTCTTTATTTCTTTTCTTTGACGCGCCTATAGCCTCCCGCCGGTCAGGTACTGTTTTTGCTCTTGTCACTTGTCACTTGTCACTTTACTTGCCCACACATGTTAATAAAAGCATATCTTTCTACTTTTATCTTACGTTTTGGTGTCTGTGGCGTTTTCGGTCCTAACCCAAAATAATAACAATGTTAATCCTAGACCTAGATCTAGACCTAGACCTAGACCTAGACCTGGGACTGTAACAAGGATCAATGGGGAAGCCCCTGAACGCCATCCACCTCCCAGCGGTTAATCCCGGTGTGGACTGCAGTGAACCCTGAGCTGTGCCGGACAGCACAGGAGAGGGGACGCCCCGCAGGGGACACCACGCAGGGGACACCACGCAGGGGACGCCAGGCCGTCGCAAAGCACACACTCACACACAGTCCCTAAAAGTCTCCAAGTAAGGCTTTTCAATCCCACTGTCCAATAAATGATCTTTTCAAGTGTTTTTAATTTGGCAGGATTTGCAGTAAACAGGTCGATATTCTAAAAAAATGAAATGACCTTTAATTGTTAAATATCAAGCACAAATAAGTCTGGGGTAGAAAGGACAGCTGACTGCAGCGTTAATCGATGTACTTGAGCACACCCACCACGTCTACCTACAAAGCTCGCTCTCGTCTACGCACGGACACTCTAATGTGTAATCTGTGACAAGTGATTAAAATACACAGGAGATCAGCAGGGACGAGCAAAGCACTAATGATGCTAACTCTGGTTAGCGATGCCGTCTCGCAAATAATTTAATTTGACATGCTTTTCTATTTCCACTCTTCATACTTAAAATGTCATTTTCAGTCCGGCAGCTTTTCAGGGTCGTTTTACTCTAATCTGGTTTTAATTCTCTTTTAATCTCTTACTACAACCTATATTTAGTGTATTTTTTAAATTTAGAGATTTAATTAGAATGTTATCATTGCATTGCACAGACTAATTCAGCTGTACAAATTACCATGGTTACACACTTTTCTTAACCTCCGACAAACGATTTTATTTTCATGACGGTCACATTGTAATTACAAGCGTACGTTCTCCACCCCTAACCCTAATAATATCTCCTTCGCTGGTGGCCGTGACTAACACGATGACATCTTACAGGACAGCTGAGTGCTGTCGCTGGATCTCTCAGACACGGTCTGGGTGAAATGCGGCTGATCTCGATAGAGGAAAATCCCAGGTGATTTCAGTAAATACAGCGGCCATCTCTGCCTGCTCAGTTTTAATTACATCGTTTGCCATTTCTATTAGTATGAGAACGGCTACACTGTAATGTGTTAGATGAATATTCCATCATGCTCTCCTTTTTAAGACGTACATACAGAGGTTAGAGAGAAGCTCTCCAAAGGGCTAAAGGCCGAACTGAAGGACCCGGCGTAAATGTGGCTACTCTGCCGAAGATGGGATTGAAGGTGGCGACTTTCCCATGACCGGTACGGAGGCTGAGCCACCCCCCCCCCCACCATCTCACACCAATCCACTTCTGTGCGACAGTCCGATCTCTCCCCTTCTCTCACCTTTGACCTTTTCATTCCCTCTTACTCCCAGAGGACCAGAAATCGTAGCTGAATGACGACGGCAAAACCATGAAAATAGGCAACCAGGCTGAACACCTTTGCAACGGCAGCATGTCGCTGGAAAAAAATTATCGTTATTAAGTAATTATTGCCAGGGGGGAGTTTGTTTGTTGTCCGATCCCCGATGATGCGTAGCAGACAAGAGAGGCCTGATTGCCGCAGGAACCCAGGCCTTCCTGCACCCCAGCCGCACTTCCCCTTTGCCCTAACACAGCAGTTTGCAGGCCTCCCCTGTAACAGGCCTGCTAACTCGACTGCCACCCAGCACGATCTCCGCTGTCCTCCTAGGTTATGATTAGACACACACACTGCCACATAATTGGCATCTGAGGAGCTGACCTCCTCCCTATCCTGTCCTAAGCAGCCCCCACCCATCACCGCCAGAGGAGGATAATGAGATGGAGAAAGTCACGTAGGCCAGCGGTCGGCTGAGGTCCACCTTCTTACCATAAACTCATTACGAGATGAGACTCCATGGAAGTTCTCACTGTTACTGAACACCCCCCCACCCCCCGGCTGTCCCAGGTACCAGGGGACAGCAGCTGTAGCCACCCAACAGTATGACAGACGCAGAAGAGGTGTGAGGGCAGAGGGATGCCTGGGTACCTGTATCTGCTTGGATGGATGGATGGATGGATGGATGGATGCTTTTATTAATGCTGAAGGAAACTGCAGGTTTACCGCGGCACAACATACAAATTTTGACAAAAAAAAACTCTTAGGGCTCCAGACAACAATAATAACAGCAACAACAACATTAGGAGACATTAGCTCCGAAACACAGAATATTTCGGAGCCAAATGCTTTTTAGGGGCCATTATCTCCATCACATGCCAAATGTGAAATAAATAAGAAATATTTACATGGCACATTTTGCCTCACGCGGCCATTTATCCCCCCCCCCCCCCATCTGAGCTGCCCACTGCATTGTCTTACCCATAACAGGAAGTGCGTAGTTGCCATTGTTGACACACCACTGCACGCAGTGCCCAATGAAATGCGTCCCCTGCATTTACCCCATGTGACATTGTGACATGGCAGCGGCACTAACCATTAGGTCACCACTGCCCACTACAAGAAAACATTCAAGGGTTCGGTACCCATCCTTACCAAGTCCTCCAGTGATTCTATACCAAGAAAACTGCACACTTATGGTTTTATTCTCTTTTGTGCTAAAAATCCACACTAGCACTGGAAGAACCAGTATTAATTTGACTAAGTGAAGCAAGTTTTTTTAAGACTGAACAGAACGGCTCCTTCCTCAGCACCACTTTGCATAAGTCACTGTAAGTCTGATCTATAAACTGACTCTTCAGTAATGTTTTCAGCATTCGCCATTCCCTCTGCACAGCTGTGGCATCACAGCCATTGTTTGATAAAAGCTCTCTGTCTCTCATGCTCGCCATAGTTAGCGATGTCCTCTGGTCATGCATCATGACAAAACACCGAAAATTACTCGATGACGTCTGATCCCTTTGAATGTCCCGGCTGTGTAACATTTGACATCACGTATCCAGTCCTGTTCTCCAATTCTTTAACAGTAATGTCAGCCGTTTTCTCCGTTGCAGCCTTCAGATCAGTTCTGAATGTGGCCAGACTTTGGGGGCCTTTCAGCGAGACAGTTCGGGAGGTGAAGACCATTCTGCCTGCTTGCAGACCTCCCTCTGACGGCCAGCAACAGGAACCAGGCTCTGACGGCCCCTCATGTCGCACTGGACTTTCCGCCTGACAATCTATATGCTGTAAGGATTCCTGCAGCTTCCCTTCTTTCACAGCATTTCCCTTCAGCCCTTTAACTGTTTGATTGGAGAAAAAATACTGACAGGTTTGATACAGTGCAACCGAACTCTGCCACAATAGCCTTCAGCTCTCACTTGCCTTTGGGACCGAAATGAAAAGCTTTCCATGGTAGTTGCAGAAGGTCTGATAAGCATTGCCAGGTCTAGCCGATGCGGTAGACAGAGGAAAGACGGCATGTTCGCCAATCTCGCTTCTGAAAAGCGCCCCTCCAAAAGCAGTCATTTTGTGTACCACCGATTTGGTTGGCTGGGTCAGCATTGTGAAGCAGCGATTTAATAGTGTTCAGAATCCCTTCTGCATGACCATAATCAACCTCAGCCAACCCTATTAGATGAGTCACAGCTGATCCATCAGAGACATACCTACAGTATGTGATGACATCGTCTTTCCCTGAGATGTCTGTTCCAGTCAGATATGACAGAGATACAATTGCCTTTAAATGCCTTTAAAGCTTCTTCCCTTACATTATAATTCATCTGCGATGCACATGCTATATCATTATCATTTATCTTTAACACATCCATGCCATTCATCTTCATCAGGGGAATTTGTGATTTAAACTTTGTGAATGGAATTTCAACCAGTGCAATCATATATGCTGCATTGAATTTTATTTTTAATTCTTTCATCTCGTTTTCTGCCACTTTCTCACTAGCACGCGGCTCTGCCTTTGCTACTGGCCTGCCGTGCGGAGCAGACCTAGCCATCACCCAGTCTCTAATTCCTATGCTCTTTACCTCCACCATGCTTCTTCACATGTTCCTTTTTAAAATGGCTCGTACCTGCATTCCATTTCACCTGCAATTTCTTGTCCTGCTTCTGCACAAAAGCTGCACTACATTCCTTCCTTGTCATATCTTAACCAAGCGGACTCCTGCAGCCAAGCTAATTTGATCCGTCTTCCAGGCGTCGGAGCAGAGGGCACAGAGGACTCTGTTAATGGCCCTGTGCCATC